CAAAGCGCGCGGCTGCTTTGCTTCTGTCCTTATGACTACCGATTTCACACGTGCTTAATTGTGACATAAATATTAATGACGCCGCGATGAGATGAGAGCCCTAATCGGCGGTGATATCACGCCATCTCAATTAATGTTATCTGATTTAAGCTAATATCCGATTAGCTTAATTGATTCCGCTGGCAAGGGTTGAGTAGCTAACTAATTATGTGCAAGGGTGTCACAACTTCCTCAATAGATAATCCGTGTCTGTGTGTGTGAGATAGTGTGTATGCTAATTTATAGTTGCCTGAAATTCTTGATTGGTTAACCTTTAAGAATGTCAAGGTGTGGTCATGCAACGAGTTATTTAGTATACCTTTTCGGTATTTGCCCATAATTGATGGAAATAATTGTCAATTTCGATATTAAATTCTGCGAATAGGAACATGGAAAGAGGGTATTAAATTAACGTGATTTTTAGAGAAAGGGAATTATTAAGAAGCTCTGTAAATTATGAAATTCTTTCTATTTGTTTCTTTCGAATAAGTGGTTTATCTGATATGTCTTAGACTTAAATTATTTATATACACGTGATTTAAACATGTATTTTGGTTATTGTAAATCATATTGAGAATAAAGGGATAATAATTGTAGGACTTACTTATTACTGGAGAAGTATTTGTAGTAAGATCATTTGTTTTTTAAAATTACGAGAAAAATTGTTTATTCGATAAAGATCATATTTTTATATTTTTATAATATTTATTTTTATTTGTATTTATAATTATATTTATAATATTTATGTTTAATATTCATACTACCAAGGATGTTTTCTGGTCTCGTCACACATTTGCATAATAAAAACATTTCGTATTTACTCAGAGCAGGTGTAAAGTTTGTGCCATCATTGCAAAATGCGTCACGTTTCTGGAATTTCTAGAACACTTTTAAACCATTCTGTAATGTTGCGAAGCTCTCTGGAGAGGAATCGTGACTTTCAGCCATGTTGCAAAATGTCTCGCGGCATTGGTGGAGGTTACATGACCCTTTTTGTAGCAGACAGAATGTTGCCAAGTTATGCTTGCGCAGTGCTTTTAACCTCGCTGCAATGTTACGAATAGTTTGAATGTTTTCTGAGAATGCTAGAGCAATCCTCAGCATTGTGTCGACGTTGTGTTCTCAAAGATATTTTCGGAAATCTGACGATCTCGTGATTACCGCTGAATTGTCAGTTGCCATACACAGATCATGTTACTGCATGTCTGTGCCACTTTATGTACACATATTACTATCTTTGACAGTGACGAAGTGGTAATAACTATGTTTCTTCTCTACTCTTTTAATAATGACCTTAATGTATACAAATTTCTTCATCTTTCTCACAGAAAATGTCTTTATTCGATTGATCAGGAGCTGTAATATGATACTTTGTTAGTGACAAACATTTTGAAGCCCAAAATTAAATTTTGTAAAGAAAAAATTAGAAATATTTATAATACTAATCTTCATTTTTTATCGGTTCTCTGCAGTATTGTAAATGAAGTTGCTATACAGGATCTTATTATATAGGCTTTTCTGAAGAAGAAATCATTAAACAGAATACTAGAAGAAATGAGAAATATATATACATATATACATATAAATAAATAGACAAATATACACATGCCATATACGATATATATAAAAATATATATATAATATATATAGTAGTGACTACTGACCACTGACCCTTGACTATTGACCTTTGGCTACCCCATTGGCACCAACAATAATGACATACCTTTTATAGTAACCAAGAATTCCTTGATTATTTCGTTTTTATTCTTTCTCATCTTACAAGTTAGGTATGAATTTATTTTTTAACAATACCTAAAGTTCTTACTTTTTATGCAATACTTCATTTTACCTCAAAATCGTGCCTGCTTAGAAAAACTCACAATTTTCGAAAGCTGAAGGTGATAGAGCAGTTTCGAAGGTAAACTCTACGCGAAATGTGTTATTAATGTCTCCATAATGGCGCCAGTCACGTACAAAGGATTAGTGTAAAAGGGTAATACTTGCTCGAAATACGTGTGAGTATTACGCATAAACGTAAATTTGGAGTTTATAAGTGACTCATGGTGACATAAGTCATAAATTTCACGCTCTTGGAAAAAAATTAAACGCTCCGGTTGGAACGCAATGTCGGACAAACGTGTGAGGATTTCCCATAATGTCGGAACTCGTTGGGAGTCTACCACACACGATGCCGCGAAATGTTACGGCTCATTACTTTGCCTGGTTAACCGAGCCTTGTAGACTTATGACAAAATAAAGCGATATTTATGCACGCGATATAGCCTAAGAAAAAAATCGGACTATCGTTCTCTATTGATTCATGTAGCTATCTAGAGTTATTCAAAAATTATTTGGTATTGAAAAAGTCGACTATTTGTTATTATTATATTATTAAAAAGTGGATACCACATATATATTTTTAGTATCATACTAGAAATATCGGAGAATAAAGGAAGTTTTAAAGTTATATTGGGTAAACGTGGAATTTTAAAAAGTTTTAAAAGCTGTAAAATATTTCAATTTTATTTCAACACATTCCGCGATGATCTCGCAACTTCGCGAGATTTTACTGCGTGCAATGCGACTTTCCCGTTTATAGACGTCTCCTATCGCACGTTTTTCCTCCTGTTTGGCATTAAAGTCCATCCTTATAGCAAATGCACAGCTGCCAAAAACAGTGGACTGAGAAGTGTTTAAAGTAGTTGTTTTAATTGCTTATATTTTTGCACAATAATTTCATGCCTCCGAAGACTCGCGAATATTCTGAAATCCTAATATTCCCACTCCTTCGATGCAATTTTAAATTTGCAAAATAGTAAAAATATCTTGTATATATAAATAGATATATGCAAAAATTGAAGAGGCAGATAGTACAATAACTAATTAAAAATAGCGCACATAATTGATATCTGTAACTATGCGACGCGTTGAAGCTTTTTCCTCCGTAGGAACGCGTAGGGCGCTCTAAATGTTTGAGGGCTGACAAATTTGTACAACAGCTCATCTTGTTTATCTGTTCTGTGTTGACTCTTTCAAGTCTCAATTCTTTCTCCCATTCAATTTTGTTAGTCTCTGGTCTCTGATTGCTTATTTCGAGAAGTGTTTCTAATCAACGGGACCCTAAGTGTCAAGCCTAATAAAAAAGTTTTACTATTAAGTTCAAAACATAAAAATATAATAATTGAAGAAAATAAAAGACTTATTCTGGAAACGGTAACATTTTATAGTAGCACCAAGTATGGCGTGGATTTACGTGACCACATGGTCCGAAAATATAGCGTTAAAGCAGGTTTCCGCAGATAGCCTCTACAAGTTTTCTATAACATTTTAGATTTAGCAGCTATCAATGCTTGGGTTCTATATAAAGAGATCACTCGAGTAAATATTTCGAGAAAAGATTTTATTTTCCAATTAGCTGAAGAGCTAAGAAGTAAATATAGAGAAGATGTCAAGAACACTTTCATTCCCTTGACAATAATTCATACTACTGACACACAGACAAATTGTCAAGTTCAAGAATCATGTAATAGAAATAGACGTAAGAGCCTTTGTGCTAAATGTAATAGAAATGTTTGCGGAAAATGTGTTTCAAAAACAGAGTTTATGTGTAAAAAATGTTTTCAATGAATTTTTTAATAATAAATCTTTCATTCAAATTGATTTGGGACTATTTTCTTTGCAAAAAACTTCAATTCTCTTATATGAGTCAAATTGGCTCACTTTAGTAAAAATAGGTATATAATCAACATCAATGAAAATTCGATCATTTTCGGAATAGTAGAATTTGAAATTGCATTTGATTTACTTGAAATAAGGTCAGAAATTTTCTGTATTTCGTCTGTAACATTCTATATCTCTGAATGTTCGTTGTGAGATAAATTGTAAAATGTCGCTTTTGAACGAGAATTCTAAGTTAAATTTGATTTTAAATAAGATTGTGGACATCGAATTATAGTTATTCATAAAATTTTCCGCATTTCATCTACCTCTAACCAATATCCTGTTTCATCAGACATTCGTTCCAAAATAAATTCATATTATAAATAGATATATAATCAATATGCATAAATCTAGTGTTAATATCGCCACGTTTTCTTCGCTTTAATCCATCAATGGACGCGATTCATCGAGAATAAACACCTCGGGAGCGAGTAATAAAGCTGTATGGTAATGCAGTGGGTAATTCGTATCGTGAAATCATCGCGGCTTCAGCATTGTGTCTAGTTCACGCCTTGGGGATTACGATAGGGCACACGTACCACCCATTCTTGCATCACGCCGTGTAATGTTCTTTGTATATAAATGCGACCATCTCGTTACGCCGTTGCTCTTACGAGCTCGCTCGAAACTTCGTATATTTTATTTTCCATGCAAATTCCGCTTTTTATCCCGACCCGCGAGCTCCTTTAATTGACCCTTCCGCGAAATACGGCATAATGAAATAAGGGAACGCGACTCGAATGAACGGAACGGACGTGCCTTCGTAAGAACCTGTAATCAGTTTGTTTGTATGCGTCTTAAGCGCAAAGCATCGCCGGGTAAATCGTGGAATAATTGAACGCGTTTTTCTCCCTCCGTAGATGGTAACGGGGATCCTGAAAATGAAATTTGTAAACAAGAAAGTTTTTAACGAATACGAGACGTCGTGATACCTGGAGATCCTTCCTGCCGAGAAATGCGATTTGCATTTACCTTTCCTTTATACTCGTCATTTGATCGTTATGGCAACGTGTTTTAATTTGCGAATGTATGATGCGCGGAAAATAAAATTGTAAGAGGGATTTATTTTTATTCCCGAGGCATTGATGATCGTTGTATACAGAATAATAATCTTGGTTCATCGTCAAATAAAGAAGGGTACAAGTAAAAAGTACAATGGATGAAATAAATGAAAAATTCGAAATCGTTTCTAATACTTTATTTTAACCGAGATATTTACGAGATTAATCTTTTGTTCGCAGATTATTCGATTGGAGACCTGAACGAGTGCTAGGAGAACCGATGAAGCACGAAAGGGTGGTGATAATTAAAAATTTATTTTCTCCGGAGGACTTCGACAAAGAGGTCTCGTTGCTACTGGAGTACCAGCAGGATGTCAGATCCGAGTGTCTGAAGTGCGGAGATGTCCGGAAAGTCATTATCTACGATGTAAGTGACCGCATATTTGTATTTTGAAACAAAGAACTTTTGTTCGAGACGAGGAATGATGAATCGAGTTGGAAAAGCGAGTAATTAAGTAAGATATCTGTTACATAAGTAGAGCTGTTTTTAATTATTTGGAACAATGTACTTATTAAAACTACGAACCGCAGCCGAGATTGATTATCTGCTTTGAAATAGTTTAACAAGCGCGTAATTAGCTTTACCACTTAGAAATTAAAGTAGACACAATGAAGCAGTTAATTAGCGAGATTCGCTTTCAAAGCGGAACAGTATCTTGTTCGTAATTGTTCGTTCCATCAACTAGATTTGATTAAAAATATCGAATATTAATATCACGTAATAATAAAATGAAGAATTAATTTGACGTCATATGGCACTTCTAAACTCGCGTCGTTTCTTTTATTATAATCACGCTTTGAAAGATTCATGATTTATATGTACGACGCCTATCGCTATATCTAGGTCGATTATTTCAGCATTCTATACAGAATAGATCATCACTGACTTTGCTGTGTCATATTCCGTGGCACGAAAAATAACGTCAAGCTCAATAATAACTTAATAATAAGAAAACTTTACAATTTAACCCTTTGCACTCGAGCGATGACTCTCAGTCATCGTTAATAATTTGAAGCTTAGATAACGATTATTAGACAATAGGTTAGAAGCAACTATGCATAATAATAAAATATTGTAATAAAATACACATTTCTTTTTTCTTTATTTCAGTGTAAATTTAGTATCGTTTGGTATCACCAAATGAGTTTAGAAAAATATAAAGCTTGGAATAATTATATCTTTATGGCGAAAAAATCTTCGAGTGCAAGAGGTTAATAATAAATTTTAATAATATTTAATAATTATTATTAAAATAATTAGAATTAGTAATTAATTCCCGCGATACTTATTTATTATTTTTAGTTTCTCGTACCACTGTCAAATAATTAGTTAACGAATGTTTTTAACTAATCGAGTGACTGTAGGTTCCTCGTAACCGTTATACAAAGTAACGATTCGACGAAACGGTTTCGAGAACCGGTATCGATATTTATGACAGTTTTCATTCCCTGTCATTGACCTATCTGTGATCCCTTCATTCCGGCCCTTTGATACTCTGGCTATTAAGAGTAATACTATCACGTAATATTTCATAACGTCATCCAGTATGGAGTACCCCGTCCATACATATATATACACGGTACAATCGAATCGTCTTATCGTGGATCTCCCTAATGGCTCATGTAAAGTGGAGGCCTCTCTTCTTCGAAGACGTTGCATCAGCTATTCGCTTCAATACCGAATATTTTTCGCCTCTTTCATCTGGGTACTCGTCTTTAGCATATGTATCGAGCCATTGTGTAGTATTTACGTTGGCATGTAACAAAAGTAACGTGTCACAAGTGACAGTTGCTAACCAAGAAGGCGGAATAAATTTTCAGAGTATTATTTCTTTGCGTAGTGTACTGTTGTATTCCAAGGAAGCCTTTAGTTTCGTTGCAAACTTACATGCGAACTTTGAGTGTATCAACGCGGCCAAGTGCCAGTTCTTTTAACACTGTGACTCCAAACTGACTACTAGAGGAAGAATAACTCAAGATTTGGAACAATGGGCAATATTTATATCCGAATTAGGAAATAAGCAGGGGTTGTCTATGGATCGAGGGTTAAGAGAGAATGATGCAAGGAAGGTCGGGGTCCGAGTGAGCAATAGGGGGATAAGGATGAATAAGGAAAGTAGCCGGTCTGGAATTTATCTAATATACGTAGGTAAACACTTATATATGACTAAATAGGTATCTAACAATACCATGAAAAGAATTTTTTAAATTATCTTCTAGTTTTCTTTTAATCCAACTGTTTAGTAGCTTCGTTTCTATATAATCTGTAAATTTTATAAACATAGGTATGACATTGTTATAATTATCTTTTATGCTTCTTCTTATGTATAATTTATCAGTGATTTTAAAGTAATTCGAAATTTGAGCAATAGGTCGATAAGGACGAGTAAGGACAAAAAGGAAAGTAGCAGGTCTGGAGTTTACCTAATGTGCATAGGTAAACATCTATGATGACTAAACAGTCCTCTAACAATACTATGGAAAGAATTTTTTTAATTGTCTTCTCGGTTTTTCTTAATCCAACTGTTTAATAGCTTCGTTTCTCTAAATTTTATAGGCATAAGCATGATGTCGTTACAATTATTTTTTTTTATTTATAATTTATCGGTGATTTTAAAGTAATTCGAAATTTCGTAGTTATGTTTTCTGTCAGCGGAAGGTAATGCTATTTCCAGTTTTTATTTGATAATTTTATTGGTACGTAAACTGTTTGCAACCTGTCTGCTTCATCGTTAACATGGACGAGTTAACCTGTTTAAAACACGCGGAGATTATGTATCTTTTTAAAAACAAGATTTCTCGTTCGTTAGGTCATCTTTTATTTATTGGTTATTCGTCTTGCCAGGAACGGTTCCCCGATCGTTGAATATTTCGTGAATCGAGTCATATCTCTGCACGATTCGCGAATATTCTTATATTTACGCAATATTTAAATTTCACGTACACCTGTGTACATCATCTACGTGATTCTGCATTGCTATGACTCATAGAAGATAGAAAATGTCTCCGATATTATCAAACTTTCTCTTAATTCCTACTGTGCAATGAAATACAAATTGTTCAAGAAATAATACTAAAATAATAAATAATATAAATGAAATCGTAAGAAAATAATAATAAATAAAAATAAATAATACTCAATTTTTTCTGTCATCAAAGAAAATGCAAAACATGAAGATCTATTGTATCGATTACGATTTACTACGTTATAGGATTTATTCGTAGTAGTTTCAACGTAATGAGGATCCAAATTGAAGCACAAGGCAGCAATATTGATTGACGTATTTTTCGATACGGATTGAACAGAGGCTGAAATATATTAACTAAGGTCTCTCAGGTTTTCTCAGAATTCGTTTTCTCGGATTTCTCTCGAGGATGAAAACTTGGACGCCTGACCGATTTTACGATCCAGCTATATTTCCTCCATCAACCGGAGCTATTAACGTTCACATTTATTATTATGGAGATCAGGCGATGCAATATCTAAAGCTACTTGTCTACATTTAGATCAGAAGCTTTGAAGCGTTTTGAAGACGTTAGCGTATATCATATTGAGAGAGTAAGTCATTAAAAGTTGTACTATTTTGTACCATTCGTGTTTACATCATGGGATATAGAGTTTGATTAATAAGATATACCAATGTATATCTTATTGTGCACTATGTTGTATCTTACAAGGAGAGTGCAAGTCCTTCGGGTCACCGATTTAGTTGAAACTTTCAGGCTCATAGACTTCCTCATGCAGTTTAAGAATATATATCATTATAGCCGCAAATACTTAATAATTATTGAGATATTTACGATTGAAGTTTTATTACGTACTTAATTCTCTATTTAATTCCAGTTGTTGACAATTGAGATTACGGCTTGAAGGCGACGGTCGCGAATTTGTATGCTGAAAGACTGGGGTTCGATTCCCGTCCATAGTTTCTAGTTTTTTTTTTCAATCTATTTTTTATTTTCTATTACTTTTTCGCTTATGGAAACACCGTAAATAAACAATGGCAAATAACATTTCTTCATAATATTATAATATTTTTTACTCTTCCTTATGCTAGTATACATTTATTACAAAGCAATAAGAATATTATGCAAGAAAAACAATTTTCTATAACAATCTTATTTATTACTAACTAATTATTAAATTAAACATTGTATAAGAATGTTGCCTACGATTCCAACTTTGCTATGTAGCTATAAATGTTCATGAATTAATTACGAAAACTTGGGAATTTATTAATTTTCTACTGCCGAATAAATACAAACTGATTCAAATTTAAGCGCCTTCGATCAGCGCCATCTATGATTTGGGCTCAAAAATCAAGAAAGTGATAGGAATATAGAATGTGCAAGGAGGTCGTCTACACCTGGTCACGTGACAGCTAAGGACAGAGAGGGGATAGAAAAGGATAGAAGGGCTCCGACAGTGAAAAGTTAATAAATTACTCAATTTCTGTAATTAATTTGTGAACTTTTATAGCTTCATTGCAAAGCTGGAACTTCAGGCTACATTCTTATATAATTTCCGTAAAGAATTTAACTCTAAATTGTCAGTTATTAATTTTTGTTTGATGGCGTCCTTAATTTCGTAACGACGACCATCACGATATTCGGTGAAAATATTTAATACCAAACGAAACTAGAATCAAAATGTGATCAAAAGTCATATGAGAATATTCGCAAGAACATTGTCTTTCTAATGAGTGCACAAAGTTTCATAAATTAATTGCGCAAAGGATAGTAATTAATGAAAAGCCAATGGCGTCTTCGAGAACAATTCAAACATTCGGTAGAATAATAATTAATAATTAATTAAATAGGAACAAATTTATATCAAAAGTTATATTGGAAAGTTCGCCGAGGCTGCGCCTTTACGATGAAATTATAAAAGTTCATAAATTAATCGCAGAAATTGAGTAACCTGTTAATTTTCTAATACCGAATGAAAATTCAAACGATAACAAAGGTTCATAAATCATAGATGGCGCTGATCGAAGGCGCTTAAATTTGAATCGGTTATTGCCCTAATAAATAAATTGGGCAGTAGAAAATTAACGAATCCTGAGTCTGAGTAATTAATTCATGAATTTCTATAGTTGCATCGCAAAGTTGAAACTATAGGCAACATTCCTTTGCCATTTCCGAGAATAATTTGATGCTAATTAATTTGTTATTCATAATTAATTAAAGGTGTACGTGATTTCGTACCAACAACCATGATCTTTTGAGAAAATATTAAATAATGGACAAAACTGGAAGTACAATGTGAACGAAAATGTATGAGAAGATGCCCAAGGATATTCTTTTTATAATGTGTGCATGAAATTTATGAATTGATTGTATAAAGGATAATAATTATTGCCAAAC